TGAACATACCTGTAAGGTGTTGAAAATATTAAAAAGATATGCCATAAATATGGTGTCTTGATTGACTACAAAAACTCCAAGTATCCACGTCAGGCCGAGGAGACACGAAAGTAAAGCACATCCTTTAGACCAGTATCTGTTACGCAAAACGATTGTTAATGCTATTTTAGTTTTTGGGCTGAAAACACGCCTAACGTCACGATCAGGTAATAATCTGAGTCATATTTATTGTGTGATGTTCTCGGGAAAGACACTAATTGAAGTCTTACGGTGAACTTCTCCATCCAGGAGAATTGATCATGTGAACCTAACAAAAATACTGAGGGAGAGGGGGAAGGGTTACTCTGATCGATTAGGGACTCCTCAAAGATAACAGTGATGAACGCCGAATATACCCTTGGATTCAAATGATCGTTTTCTCTCAAATATTTTCCAATAACTCAAGAAAAGGAATTATCACGATAGCGAACCAAAGCAAAAGAAACAAAAAGGCTGTAAAGAGAGCTCAAAGTGTAAACAAGTTAAAGCGTTGGAAAACGCGTATTAAAAAAAAAATCACAATTTATCTTATAAAGAGAAATTAGGGTTTTGTTTTCCAGGCATCAAAACGGCATCAAAGGTGACGCGAAGTTTCTGGTCCAGACACAGCGTATTATTATGAAATAGCAATCAGATTTGTCACTCAATCGGAAAGTTACTTCCGTGGTCTTACCTTATTTTTTCAATGCTTGTGTCTTCCTTCTTCTTTCGTCCTCGAGCTGCCATGATCATAAACGTCTTCCCCAAACAAACGAAATTAAACTGTGGAAGAAAATTTTAAAAGGGGACAAACATTGGTCGATCTTCTCTAAAACTCCAAGATTTGGCTTTTTCGTGGAAATAATCGATTAAATGATTACATAGTTGGCTGGGCACAACATACAAATCTTACTCTTCATTTCGCTCAGTAGAATATTGAATAAGAAAATAGATGCATGCTTATCATTTGTCTTCAGAGTAAAAGACAGAGAAATTGGGAGTCGCCCATGAGTATTAGAACGCAGGTTACTTCCGATTTCTCACCATTGACTCGAATTAAACCACTGAACTACCAAATTTGTGCACTAGTTACCAAGCCATATGCAACACTGCTGCATATGGAATATGAACTCAGTGACTGGGTTCATATTCTTTCCGTGTATGAAATTGAATGTTATAAAAGCAAAAAGAAAGTGGAACTTACCAAGCAGATTAAAAGAACTGGTCCTACAAACGCCCAGGTAGAGTGCCTTTCAATTGACAGCCAACAGCTGACAAACAGAAACATATGGAATTATTAATCATAACTTATTCTACCTAACAGAAACACGGAAACGCCATGTATCAGAAGTTTGTGCACAGAAAGTTCGCTATGCACATGTCTTGGAAACGCAGTACAACTCCTAAGTTAAAATGAAATGAGAGCATTTTCATGGGTCATTTGAATTTCATGATTATCGCTATCGAAGCAGCTTTTTTGTTTTTAGACGTATGTATGCTTAAATTGCAAATTTGTGAAAACTAGGGAAAAGATGTTGATAAATCCATAAAATTATGAGGCTTTTCCATTCATCTGGTCCGTCCGTTCTACGAAATTTACCGCTCTAATTACGGAAAGGTAGGCTTTAACAAACGAATAACGGTCCTTTTACTTCATTTAAGTTCTTTACCAGAAACAAAGATATCTTTGCATTAAAAAGGTTACTCACAATTCCTCCGTGCCATAGCCTTCGTAAAAAGGCACAGCCGACACAGCCACGACAATTACTGGGATGCCTGAGTAAACACAAAAGATATGTTGTACTGTTTAGACAAAGTCATGCTCTGGGTGTTTACAACTGACATTAGCCTCGTAACCAGACCTTTCATGGTTAGGCGGTTGTACATGTCAGTTACAGTTACACGGTAGGATCTAGGCACGAAATTAAACGGACATATAGCTGGATTGAGTGAAATTTACGTTGAAGTAATCAAATTGCGTTTCCGTGACTGCCCAACTCAGATCGTGACTGGCAAATTAACCGAGCGGTACACATGCAATACTGAAGGAGAGAGAGAGAAAAGACCCTAAGACCCTAAAAATCATATTTTTCCAATAAGGATAGATAAGAAATGACCCTACTCGCTTATTGCAGAGGGAAATTTGTATGAGCCGTAAGGGCAACTCAGCTCGAAAGCAGACTTTACCTCAAGGAATTAGATGCGAGCAGTCAGCAATTAAAAAGACACTAACCCCAACTAAACGTAAAGAAAACAGTTCTATCTCTCGCTGGCCGAGTTTTGGTTCGGAAAATCTTCACAAGCAGAAGATAGAGGACGACTCCCTCCACAGCCATCCAACAAAATGAAACCAGAAATAAGTAGTGTAGGGTGATGGCGATGATCTTGCAAAGTAGCTGAAAAAAAAGTATTGAGTTGGAATCTAAACCATTCCTTCAACTTGATTATGGAATCTAAGTCAGTTACTTCGAAAATTAAATTAAT